TTTTTTGGCTCAAAGTCACTTGTCGCTACCAAACGATATCATCGAGCATTTTTGGAGTTCTATAACTTCTCAACTACTCGAAATAGACCAATAGTTTCTGAAGCAACTTTTTAGTACTTCTCATGGGCTTTGCAGACCCAGTACTAAAAGTACTAACAGAGTACTAAAAACTGCTAAATCCTCTCAATGGTTCTAGACACCTGTAGGTGATGCTACGTAGTACTAAATAGTACTAAAATGGATAGAATTGAACTGTTACAGACCCTCATGAACGTTACTCGCTGAAATATTTGGATAAACTTTAAAAATATTACAGTTCAAACAGCTGACAAATCCATGAGATGTACGGGGCCAATATTGAACTAAATACCGATAGTAGAGCCAAAAAAGTGAGCTAGATTTGATTTTTTTGGGTTAATGTGTTCAGGAGAGTTGTTTAGTTTGACGCTGGCTACAATTATGCCAAAGAAAAAAAAAATGGATATTTTTTACGAGTTATGGTCGAAAAAATGGAAAAAATCGCCCTTTTTTCGACATTTTGCCCTATAAGCCTAGTCAGATGCAATTTTTGAGGTATAGAATGTTCATAAATTTTTTTACTTGGACTCTTGGCTACAACTTTGCTGAAGACATTGAAACAATATAACCAATAGGGGACGAGTATGGGCCAAAATTAAAGTTGTAAAAATGCGCAATATATGGCTATATATGGAAATTTTCAAATCGATGTAGCGAAAAAAAGTTGTTCGCATGGGCTCAAACGGAGAGTGGTGTGAGACGTTTCTATCGAAGGCCTATCCTGTGGCATATATGGTTTCGCTCGCCGGGTGTAACCCACAGTGATGTATCCTTGTAAGCCATTCATTCATCTGTCTATTGTTGATATCCAATCCATGGAAATGAGCAAGGGAAGAGCATGTTTTTGTTTGACATTGTATTTTCGATCTGAAGCCTGGAGTGTGACCTTTCATGAAGTGTTGGCAAGGAATTAGGCAAATGGACACGAAAATAGACATTGATTCGAATCGAATATTTGGACTATTCGAATTGTGAACGACATACTTTGAAGCTGAAACATTGTGATAAAAACTTACAAACTTGATTTGCATTGCAGAGTTGGGTGTGTTAACCTAGATAATCGTTGTGAAAACAAACTAAAGAAATTAAAAGCAACTCCTTTCTCTTTTTCTTTTTATTTTTAATTTTCTTCTTATTTCGGTTCCAATATATTTGTGTTCTGTTTCATTCAAAATAGGAGCTTAAATCTAAAGCGTCCGTATGCGAACGGTGCGGTGTGACTGCTTCTTCTTCTTAACTAACACATCTATACATGTAAGTCGCCATATTGGTTATAATGTTCACAAATGGCACTCAATACACTGTGAACATTTTCAATATGGCCGCGCCCATTGTGTACGACAGTGTGAAGAAGAAGAAGCAGTATTATAAGAAACTGTGTATGGGCTTACATAGGGATGCACTGATCTATATTTTTTTAACCTATAGTACACGTAAGAGACGAATATGGAAATACAGCTCTGCATAGAGCTGCTCAGAATGGTAATCTTGGACATTTATGTTTTAGAAGAATGTTTTGTTCAATCCGTTTTATTAATCTATATTATTTTTTAGGTGATGTTAAGGAAGCACAAAAGCTCATCGCTGATGGAGCCATTTTAGATAGTCAAAATTATAGGAATTCGACACCTCTTCATTCAGCTGCTTCCGAGGGTAATTTTGAATACTTATTTTCGCTTTTGTTATCATGATTGAAAATACATTGTAATAAGCTATGAGCAACTCTCCTATTCGTTTTGAATTTAACAACTGATATTGAGCACAAACACCACCTAGATAATCTAAGGCTAATGACAATACAATCAAGTAAACTCTCCGTTTTGTCAAATGTCATACTGAAGTATAACATATGGACATCACGAACTCGCCATAGGTTCTTTAGAGGGCGCTTCGGTCAACCGAGATCCAACCAAATACATGTATCAGTATACAAAGCATTCCATTGTTGGCTATGAGACCGCGTGTTGTCTGAATTTTCTGTTCGAATTAATTCTTCGTTGTTTGTGTAAAAAGAATAGATTGATCTTTTTCATCGACTTGAATCATTTTTCAGGGCACAAAGATGTTGTTAAACTTCTCATCGGCAAAGGGGCCAATCTTGATAGTAGAAATAATTTCGGAAGTACACCTCTTCATTTAGCTGCTTTCAATGGTAATTTTGAATACTTATTTTCGCTATTGTTATCATGATTGAAAATACATTGTAATAAGCTATGAGACCGTGTGTTGACTGAATTTTTTGTTCAAATTAATTCTTCGTTGCTTGTGTAAAAAGAATAGATTGATCTTTTTCATCGACTTGAATCATTTTTCAGGGCACAAAGATGTTGTTAAACTTCTCATCGGCAAAGGGGCAAATCTTGATAGTAGAAATAATTTTAAAAGTACATCTCTTCATTATGCTGCTGAGAATGGTAATTTTGAATACGTGTTTTCACTAAATAGGAAATTAGTTAGATTTTTTTCATCAATTTAAACTAATTTTTAGGTCACAGAATTGTCACTAAGCTTCTAATCGATGGAGGAGCCAATACTGGTATTAAAGATAATGCGGATCGTGTACCTTTTAAATATGCTGCTCAGAATGGTAGGGCCAATGACTAAATAAGAAATCGCTTTGATCTTTTCCATTGATCTGTATTATTATTGCTCAGGTCACGATGATGTTGCCAAACTTTTTATCGGTAAAGGAAACAAAATTAATATTGAAGAGCAATTGGAATAGATTCAATATGCTGCCAACAATGGTAATGTTGTGCATTTATTCTCACTAAATAGGAAATTGGTTTGATTTTTTTGATCGATGTTTATTTTTCAGGTGAACTAATTCAGCTGAATAATCGGATGATTTCTTTCAGTTCCCGTATTCAATTGTAGTGTAGCATATTAATTTCAATACTTTTT